TTCCTCACCATGCCACAAACACCTGGACAGCCAACAGCGGTGGGTAGGGAACACAGATGAGGAAAGCCATAGGCTGCAGGTCTAATCAACCCTGAAGTATCACAAGGGTGGGCCAGCGAAATGGCTTAGCGGGTAAAGGTACTTGCCACCAGGCTGGGGGCCCGGAGTTTGATCCCCAGGAGAGAACTGATTCCAGCAGGTTGGTTTCTGACCTCTACACCTAGGCTGTGGGGACACACACACACGTGCACATACATATAAACACACAAACACTGCGTGCACGCATGCAAACTTTTTTTAATATATAGAATACGGTTTCCATGACGTCGGGGATTTCTGGTTCTACAGCAGGTGTGAAGTGGTCACTTATTCAGGAATGGATAGAGCAGGTGCCTGGCACAGCCGAGGCTCTGGATTCCATGCTCAGCACCACAGAATTCTACTGATACAAACATGAATAGTGGTAGAAAATCAGAGAAAGTGGCTGTGGGAAAAACCAAATAGGATGCGTTTCCTCGGCGCATAGCTGTTCAGCAGGGACCGGTAAGTCTCTGGGGGCTGAATGGTGCTGGGTCACACAAACATTAGCGGAGGGAAACAAAGCCGACTTCCCTTCCTGCCTCCCAAGGAGCCTGGCTTTTTAAAACTTAGTGGTGGGAAGGCTGGACCCACCTAGCTGCATCTGGGACATCTTTAATTATCCAGTGAAGCGCTTCTACTTCCGTGGCTAATTCTGGCACTTGTACACACATCGCCCTCGCATTAGGCAAGCGAAGGTTTCAGACAGGGACCGTGTGGCCAGAAGGCTGCTGCTGTCCTGCACATCTGGCCCCTTCCCCGGAGTTCATCCTTAACATCTGTCGCCTGCAGCAACTGTCTCCCTCCCCTGCCAAGTAAGAGCCTGGGGCTGACCTCATAATCCTGGTGAATGCTGGGAGGCACCTCCAGATTTAACCACTTAATTCCCAAACTGCCCTGTCTAGCTGGTCAACCAGCCCAGCATTAATTCCTTAAAGCATCCCCATTATCTTCCTTGTAGCTGACCGCTTTGCCCACAGGCTCCTTTTTCCTCCTCTTCTAGTCCCAAAGCAGGAGTCTGCTGCCCTCCCCTGGTTCCCCTCTTAAAGACAGATTCCAGGCCCCCATATTCTCTTTCCCCTCCCTTCCCCCTCTAGAGGCCCGCAGCTCCCAGCGCCCTCCCTCCCCACTCACTACACAATCTCTTTTGTTTCTCTCTGGTGTCTTTGGGCCTTGACTGGGTTACCTCACCCTCTTCCTCGGGGCCTCGCTAGCCCCCTAGGTGCACCCTCCCACCCCTACCACCTCTACTTTACCAGGTCCTCTCCTTCACTGCAGCCCCCAGGCGGGGGGGGGGGGGGTGGAGAAGGGGGGGAAGGGGTGGCCATCACTTCAAACTGGAAACTCCAGCGTCACCTCATGCTTTACAAAGACTCAGGTAAATGCTCTCCACCTCAGAGCATCTATCCCATCTGGAAGTGAAAAGAATGACCCCGACACTTTCAAGCTGAGTGAATCGAGAGCCAGGCCCAGCGCTGGCCACTCTTAAATAGCTACCGTCAGAGCACCTCCCAACGTGATGGCTAGCCTTTACTGGCAGCCACAGCTCTTACCTGAGGTCACACTGCCCACAAAGGCCAGGAACCCCACTCCCATGCTAGAGGTGGAACCCGGGACCTCCTATGTGCTGAGCAAACCCTTCCTTCTGGTTCCTAAACCTACCCGCTATGCTTGCAAACTCGGATAAACTTACCCATGTGTGCAGGAGCAGAGGCCAGAGGTGGAGGTCAGTGGAGGTCAGGTGTCTTTACTAATCTCTATCTTTTTTGGATTCAATTGCACCTCTCCCCCCCTTTTAGCTAGGCTGGCTGGCCAGGATCACCTGCCTCTACCTCACTCCACCCTCCCCCCAGAGCTGGGATTACATCTTCATGCTGCCCCACAGGGTTTGTACACACACAGGGGATCCAAACGCAGGTCCTCAAGCTTGCACGGAAAATGCTTCACTACTGAGCCAGCTCCCAGCCTCACTGCCTTGTCTGTTCTATCATCATACTCTGTCCTGAGCTGACGTCCCAAGTAAGACCGGCTAGGGGTGTGGCAGAGGGCTCGGTGGGTGAAGACATCACCAGCCCAGCCTGCAGACTTGAGTTTGATATCTCGGACATACACAGAAGAGAACTGACACCCCCAAGTCGTCCTCTGACCTCTGACCTTGTGGCCTGGCACTTGTATGCCCACAAACAATGAATAAATAGAATAGAAATAAAAATTTCCCAAAAGGATGGTGCAGTTCGCCAGCAATGAACATGAGAGGACGTGGCCCATGTTGGAAAGAGAGCCAGCCGTCAAGTGCTCAGTAAGAGTCATGGTAGCACACATCGGAGGCCACTTCGTTGTTGTCATTGATACTTTGCTGCCAGGGTTGAATCCATGTTAAGCACATGCTCCATGATCCATCACTGAGCTACACAGTAGCCCGACCCTGAGAGCTGCCCAGAAGCAGGGAACGCTGTTCATCCAACCTGTGTTGTAAGCTATTAGTGTTCCCATTTCACATACAGAAAAACTGAGTCTTCCTTCCTTCCTTCCTTCCTTCCTCATATTGGTAACTTTGAGGAAAAAAAATGTTACTGGCTCACAATTGGGGCTCAGAACAAGTTTGTTGATACCACCGACCCTGCTTAAAGCTAAGCTCCTGAAAGATTAGGAGTGGTGTCCCCCAGCCCAATGCCCTCACCCAGATACACAAAGTAGGCATGAGTGTTCCCAACACCCGAGCTGAGTAAAGCGGAGAATGCCCCTCAGCCAGTACAGAATTCAACCAATTACTCTCTTGACTGATTTTCCTTGCTCTAGTCAACTTGGGCAGACTGGAAAATGATGGGCTTGGTCCTCTTGTCATGGGAGGAGGTGGTGAGGCCAAGGGGGGAACCCCAGCATGGGCTTCAGGCAGTGCAAGGGAAAATACTGGTACCTCCAGGGTCAGGAGCACCAGAGAGGTGAGAACCCTGATGGGTGCGGCTGTTGTGGGAGGTGCAGCAGGCAGGAGAACCCAGGAACTGGAATGTGTTTTGGGGTCCCTAAGACAGGGCACAGCATGGTGCTTCCTCCGGGACAGAAACAGACTAGGGTAGAAAGAAAGTCAGTTCTGAGGTGACTTGGGCTACCGCTCCTGCAGCGGGCATCCACACCGAAACAAGAAAATCATCACCACCACCACCTGACTGCCATTCGGGCTCCAGTGGCCCAGCTTCTCACCCTCATCAGGGCGCAGACTGGAGTAACGGATCCGCCTAGACCGCCGCCTCTTTTTCGGCGTCCCTGAGCACCCCAGCTCCTGACATGCATGCACACCTGGGTACACGCTCCAGCCCTGGTCTTTGACCTCCTGGGTGGTAACAGAGCACTTCTGCCTTCCCGCCTGTACCCCACAACGCCAGAGTCCACCTCCCAGGTCCCTCACTACTAGCCTACCTTCCCTTCCTACTGACCTTTGCTCTGCCATCTCTTCTCAAAAATATTGATCCCACCCCCGGGATTCTGCAGCAGCAGTACTTTTGAAAAGAGGGACAGAGGGGAGACGCGCATGAGACCTCCAGAAACGGAGAATCGAGTTCAGGGCACCCCGAAGCGACACTTCTCTTCGCCAGCGCCCTGGCTGCGCGAGCCCACGAGACATCTGTCGCCCGCGCTCCCGGCTCACACCCCGATCACCCCCGCAGCTCTCCGGGCGATGCCACCCCCCACGCTCCGGCTGCCGCCTCTCCCTGCGGCGGCGCGCCAGCTTTCCAAGGTGTCTGCGCGCCCGCAGGGCTGGGCTGGGATCAGCGCGACGTCTCCGGGTCTCTGGTTACCTCATCTGTGATCGTCGCCTCCCGACCCACCTCTCAGAGGTCAACCTAGTCGTCCCCACCACCCATTCTCTGAAGTTTCTCTACTCAAGAACGTAGGAAGGTAACCCTGATACTTCTTCCCCCAAATTAGCCTAACACAACGCCTGGCACGCAGGTCCCCTTACCAAGGACCCACCTACAGTCACCAAAAGTGAGACGCTCCGCTCAGCACCCTGTGACCGCACACAGCAGGCTCCTATACCTCACACTTCACACTGGAGGTGACGGGAGGCCAAGCTGTAAACCGCGACATCTTGCGGTAAAAGGAGCAACAAAGTTACCGGGGAAATGGGACGCTGAAGTGCGCCAACCTTGGGGATCGAGGACCACGACCCAGCCAGTGAGAAACTTCCATGGGAGGGGGGCAGGGGTCATCACAGAGAATGGGGATTCAAAAACTGCAGACAGGACACTTGGGGAGAAGGGAGTTAAGAGCGGAGGCTTGGAGACCTGGTCAAGCCTGGAATGGCTGGTGGCTTGGATGGGACTGGGGACTCTAGGTGCATAATTAGGGAGTGGGTTTTAGCTACGACCAAGTGTGGTAACTCTGCGCGTGTGTACTGGGGCTGGTGACGACCGTCCTGGCTTCTAAAGCCAGAGAGGAGAGGAGGAAAGAAAATAGGGAGGGAGGAGAGAGGAGGAGAGATGAAAGGGAGAGGAGAGAGTGGAGAGGAAGGAGTGAGAGGGGAGTGGAGATACAACAGAGGAGGGAGAGAGGGGGAGGAGGAATGTCTGAAGACGGGAGAGGGAGAGGAGGAGAGGGGAGGGGAGAGAGTATACAACAGAGGAGGGGGAGAAAGGAGAAAGAAAACAGATTGAAAAAAGACAGGATAAGGTAGAAAAAGAAGGGAGAGATAGACAAGGGAAAGAGAAGTGGGAAAGGAGAGAGTGAAGCCAGATGAGAGAGAGAGAGAGAGAGAGAGAGAGAGAGAGAGAGAGAGAGAGAGAAACGGGTGGGAAGCGGCGTGTAGCAGTGTCTGGGCTGAGAGGGACTGGGCAAGTGAGGAGGAGCGAGCTGTTCCCCGCCGCGGCGCCCTGCCTCCCGCCGTCACGCCAGCTCCCCAGCTCGCCCGCTGGTCCGCGTACCTGTTGCTCGGTCCGGGCTGGGTCTCGGCTCCGGTCCCCCCTACCAAGAAGGCCCCGCGCGCGCCGCCTACGCGCTCCGCCTGCCGAGCAGCCAGGCCGCCAGCGCCGCCACCTGCGCGGCCGCGCACAGCCAGGGCCAGCGGGCGCGGAGCGCGGGCAGCAGCGCAGGCAGCGGGTCCCGGGGCCGTGCGCGGCGCCGCATGGCGCGTCGGTGCAGCTCGTCGCCCAGCGCCTGCAGCCTCAGCGCGGTCACCTGCGCCGCCGCCCAGCGCAGCCCGGGGCGAGCGTCGCCGCAACCGCACACGGCCGGAGGCCCGCGGCCGCGATGCCGGGGACACGGGCACATGGCGTGCGGAGGAGCCTCCCCGGACCCCAAGTTTCGCCCTGCGCCGCGCGTTTGTTGTGCTGACGGCGCTATTATTAATTAAAGTGTCACATGGTGGAAGGGGCGGGGAGGGCGCGGGGAGGGGGTTACATCATCCGGCGGGGGGGGGGGTGCAGGAGAAGAAGCCGAGAGGTAACTTTTAACCCTCGCGACGCCGGCAGGGCGGGGACAGGCGGGATCGCGGGACTTCGGGGATGCTGGCCCGAGGCGTCCACTGTCTCGCTTCTCTGGTTGCCGGCGGCTCTAGCTCGGACGCAGCCTCCGAAGCCAGCTCGGTGTACACTGGGAATGGCGCTCCGGGCGAGTTCGGCTGTTATTCGAAAAGATTCCCGGACTGTTGTGTGGCTTGGGTGACGGGAGACGGGGATTCCAGTCGACGTGCCCAGTTTCGGGGCACCTGTCAGCTTTTGGATCGGTGCACATACTCCTGATATGCGTTCACACCCACTTCTGGTGACCTGACCTAAGCACACCAATGGGTGAGAGCCTGAAACCTGGAATGGAGGTGTGTGTGTGGGGGCGGGGGAGGCGACCGGGACTGGAACGGTTGGACTCCCACTCCAATGGGTCGTCCTTGCACTCTAGAGCTCTCTCCCCTTCCCGCCCCAGGACCGTTATAGAGAGAAGTTCTTATTGCCTGCTTGCTTTGTGAACATTATCTTTCCTAATGAGGTTATGGTTGGTAGTGGACCTTGTAAAGCAATAGCTTGTCCCCTAGTGAGGTGACCTAACCCGAAGACCTCTAGTTCACCAACCTGGAAAGTCCACTGGGGAGGGTGCGGACTAGCTAGAGAGTTCTTGGGACTCCTTAGGGTGTCAGGGAGACCCACCCCCTCCCACATCAAATCCACTAGAATTTGGACCTGAAGGAGCAGGGAGGTGCCTCCAAGCCAGTGATTTTAGAACCTTCGAGAGACTTCCCATCATCCCTTCAGACCTGCAGAGTATTGTCAAGGCCTGGCGAGGCCTTTGGTCCCTTGGAAAAGATTTCTCATAATCGTGAACTTGGTGCAGTAGCTCCGACTGTCATCCTCCAGTCTCAGCACTACAAAGGCAGGGGTGTCACAAATTCAAAGCCAACCAGGTTCACATAGTGGTTCCAGGCCATCCAGGGCTACAGAGGGAGAACCTTATATTTAAAAAAAACTCAGAGTCAGGGATGACCACGTGGCCGTTCAGTCCTGTGAATTCACGTGATCCAAAGAGAAAACTGATGTCCACAGCATGTCCTCTGATCGCCAGATGCATACTGTGCTGTGTGTATGAATGCACATAAAATAAAAAGATAAATAAGTTAATTTAAGTGTTGAAAAAAAAACCCAATCCAAAAGACATAAAACTATGAACTCACTTTTTTGTGATTTTGTTGTTGTTGTTATGGTTAGTGTTTTGTTTCACATAGTCCTGCTATGTGGTCCAGACTGGCATTTAACTGGACACTCTCCTGCCTCATCCTCCTGAGTGCTGGAGTGACCAGTGTGCGTGACATGCTCAGCGTGGCTTACTTTCATCTGTGTTCACAGCTTCTTTCTTTTTTTTTAAAGATTTATTTATTTATTATGTGTACAACATTCCTTCCATGTGCACCTGCATACCAGGAGGGGGCACCAGATCTCATTACAGATGGCAGTGAGTCACCATGTGGTTGCTGGTTACTGGGAATTGAACTCAGGACCTCTGGAAGAGGGATCAGTGCTCTTAACCTCTGAGCCATCTCGCCAGCCCCCATAGCGTCTTTCTTAGCAGCTTGATGAACTGACTCTCAGAGCGTGGCAGCCACGCTGTGTGCTCTTGGTGACCCTGACTCACCTTCACGCAGTCTCAGTTCATCTTCCCTTACAATCGCCCACGCTGCCCAATTCCTTCCGTGGCAGCAGGCACACCAGAGTCCTGGCTTATGCTCCTAGAAAGAATCTGTCGCTGCCCTGTTTCTAAGATGAGGAAGCCAAGGCCCTGGTCCATGAGGCCTCTTGCCCAAGATAGGGGTTATTACAAAGCAAAGGCTGGCCCTGAACTAGGGCACCCAGTAGCAGGCACCAAACCCTAGCCATGGTAAGACTGATAATGCCTCCCTCCCAGGACCAGGGCCCAAACTAAATGAAAGAACTGTGTGCCAAGTGCCTGGCATGAAGTGGGCTCAAATAAACCTTGGTCCCCTCTGCTTCTGGCCAGAACCACTTCCCCATCTCCTGGGACTCCCACTCCCTAATCCCAGCCATCCTCGTGAAGGGCAGCTGAACCACTGCCCAAGTGTAGTGGTCCAAGATTGAAGATACAGTGTCTATTTAAAAAGCCCTTTGGATTTAAATTGAACAGTCCCCCCTCCCTTTTAATCTCCACGCTTTTAACGGCTCACTTCATGGACATTAATTTTAATGGGACGATTATTGCCCTGTTTGGAAGCCTGCCCCTCGAAGCGCTGGACTCACAAGGTGGCACTGGGTAGGCTCCCAGCAGCTTGGATGTTTTTTTTAAAGCAGAGAGAGTGCAGCTTTGGCTGTGGGGTCGAGAGGAGAGAAGAGGAGAAGGGGGTTATGGGGAGATGAGGTCAAAGGGAGGCCTCTTTCTCCCCATCGCTGAATTAGGTTCTCTGAATTTTGCTCACACAGTTACCCTGTCCCCCTTTGTACCTGGTGGCCTTTCAAAAATTTATTCCCCTCCCACTTTGTGTTTTTCTCATGTGCGTGCACATGTGTGTATGTGCGTGTGTGTGTGTGTGCACACACGTGACACGGAGTACATGTGGAGGTCAGAGAACAATTTGCAAGAGTCAGTTCTTTCCTTCTACCTTGTGGGTCTCAGGGATTGAACTCCGGTTATCAGCCTTGGTGGTAAGCACCCTTAATCACTGAACCCCAAGATGGACCCTGTCAAAGTATCCATTTCTTTAGCTATGGGGTGGAGATATCACTATCAACTTCATAGGCTTAGGAATCTTGTAAACCACCCCCAACCACACTAGCATGGGGTCTAAGCTTACTAGCTTCATTTAATAAAGGATCCTTGTAGTGATATTTCATTTGTATTTTAATAAATAAAGCTTGCCTGAAGGTCAGAGAGTAAAACAGCCGCCCTGGTCAGCCTTACAGACCAGGCAGTGGTGACACACACCTTTAATCCCAGTAGCCACACTAGTTTGCCATAGAAATCTGGCAGTAGTGGTACACGCCTTTAATCCCAGCCCTAGAGAGGAATATAAAACAGGAGGAGACAGCTCTCACACACAGTCTCATTCTGAGATTCCTGGAGGCAGGATTGCCATTTCAGACTGAGGTAGAGGTAAGAGCCAATGGCTGGGCTGTTTGGCTTTTCTGACCTTCAAGTTGAATCCCAATATCTGTCTCTGGGTTTTTGTTAATTGTGTTACAGAGCCAGGCCTGACAGCAGAAGCCTGTAATCCCTGCTACTCAGAAGGCAGAGGCAGAAGCATCGCTAGGACCTTTTTGGGCTACAGAGTGAGTTCAAACCTAACCTGAGCAACTTAGTGAGACCCTGTCATGCTGGGTGTGTGGCTGGCAAGTGCTTGTTGAGACAAAGACTGGCTAGCTGAATGAATGAATGACTGGCTAACTGATAGTGACTGAGTGAGTGAATGAATGAATGAACGGCTGGTGGAATGAATGACCATCTGACTGGATAACTGATAATGACTGACTGACTGAATGAATGAATGGCTGACTGACTGACTGAATTAATGAATGAATGGCTGACTGGCTGAATGAATGACTGACTGGCTGAATCTCTGACTGACTAATTTGAATGAAAGAAAACATTTTAGTTGGTCTTTTCCTCTTTTAATGTCCACGGGGGGGCGCTGGAGAGAGAGCTCAGTGGTCAGGCAAGTTTGCTGCTCTTCAAGAAGATCCAGGTTTGGTTCCCAACACTCATATCTGACAGCTTATCACTACCTGTAACTCCAGGTCCAGGGAATCCAATACCTGCCAGCTTCTGTGGACACTTGCACAAATGTGGCATCTACTTCACACACACACACACACACACACACACACACACACACACACACTAAGACATACAATGATGCACGTGAAAATATTATAAACAATGATACGTGTGTGTGTGTGCATGTATGCATGTACATGCATGTATGTGTCTGGCTTAGACCATTCTCTTACCTCCTACAGAAACCAACACTGTTTTTACCGGAAAAGATTGTAGGCTCTTTTCTTTGATTAAAAAATGATTTACTCGCTCTGGTGTTTGAGAGCCAGGGACCTTTTCCTTGGGTGTTTTAATGCGTATGTCTGTGTATAGTGGCAAATGAAGGGACAGCTGTTGCCTCCCCCAGACAGCTGTGTTTCCGGAAGACATCTGTCAATGCCAAGTCCACATCTGATGGCAGGAGGCAGCTCACGGCACCATACTTTCTCTTCTTGAAGCCGGGGATGGCAGGGTGATAGGTTTAAATTTAGGAGCCAGAGGGACCTGGGTCACAGCGGCCATACTAAATTACAGCCAGCTGTCTTGGCAGTCTATTCTCTCTCTGGGCCTTGGATTTCCCATCTGTAGATGGGGAACAAAAACCCTGCTGTTAGGACGGCTGTGCGTACTACAGCAAAGAATTTATGCGGATAGTTCATGACGTGATTGACACTAAAGTTACTTGTGATCTTTGTAGATGTCTTGGAGTTAGTAAATATCCACTCAGGAAACAAAATAGGGACTGTGACCCAATCCCACTGAGAAAACAAGGAGAGACAGTTCTCAGGGAGCCCGGAATCTGTCCTTTCCATTTAACGGAGCCAGAGCAGAATGGGTCTTGTCTGTCGTGGGTATCCTGAGAAGACAGGGTAACTGTCTCCTGGGCTTGCTAATGACCCCTCTGGTACCTTCCCTAAGGGCCTTGTTGAAAGTAAAGAGCTGCTGAATGACCACAGCAGGGGAGGAAAAAAATTAACCATCCCGTAATTAGTGTCACCACACAGATGAAGAGGGGTGAACCCGGTTTGCATAAAGCCTAATTCCTTGATTAGGAGTCAGGAGACAGGGG